AAAAGAAAACGAGAGAGGGCTTCTTCTTCTCTTGTGTCTTGGTTACATGGTCATTCTCTCTCTCCATATGACTCTACTATCTAGCTCTGAACTAGTTCCTTTGTCTGGTTTAAAGACAGAACCTTGTGCTGAATTTCTTATGAATATGCTTTCTCTTTGTCTGCAGGACTGCTCAAATTCACCACTGAGGCAATTTCACAAAACTTCACAAAGATTCCTGAGTGTGGTAACTACTTCTGTAAAAGAATATAATGCTGTTGTTGGAACAAAACCTCGTATCTCCATTTTTGTCGTTTTTCAGTTTTTGACATAGTTTCAAAATGCCTGATGTCCTTTACACTGTTTGTAAATTTCATGATGAATGGACCAAACAAAACAGCCTAGAATTACTTGTAAAATAGTCTGATTCCATTGACTTATATTAACAGTAAAGTATGTTTTCTCCTTCTCCTGTAAAGTGATCATTTAAAAAAAAAATACAAGGTTTTCTTGCAACAACAGCAATAAGCATGCAATTTCATATACAAAAACATTCTTGCTCAAAAGTCGCTATTGCAAGAAAGTATTGAATTTACAGATTATTATATCTAAAAGTATTCTAATTTCACACCATGGTTACACAAAGCTACTTGTAAGAAACATTATTACTAAGAAAAGGAAATTATTTTTAAAAAGAACATAATTCCAAAGTTAGTATAAGTGAACACTAACATTTCTAAAATAATGCTTAAGTGAAAGCTACAGGATAAGTAAGAGTAAATGAAATGTTGGGTATATTATCCAGTTATCACTAATGTATATTTGTATGTATGAAGATACATTAGCAGAAACTCTATTACACTTAAAGTATATATATATATATATAGTAACACAAATTAAAAACTTTACCTACATAGTTCTACTTTTAAAGACCAAGAAGACTCAAAAGAAAAGAAGATATAGAGTTAAATCTGATCCAAGCAATATATGGATTTAACTAATCTTATGATATTTCTAATCAGAGCTCAATCTGTCAAACTAGGTGGAAAAACACAAAAAACTGACATGCTAAACTTTTTGTTGTGGTGTTGTGGGGTATTCCAGATGCCACATCTCTGTTCTTCAATTATGTCACACTGCAACACCTGCTTATCGTTCCTGATGCTCATGTTCAGGCCAGAGGTGGAAATTTGTAGGCTGCAACAAAATGGTGTCAAAATCAGGCTGGACAGATAATTGAATTATCTCTCAGATCATAGAAATAAATTCCACATTTCACACTCTTAAATCATTAGAAATTACAGATACCGAATTTAACGTGCAGTTATTGGAAATAGATCTGGAATTCAGATTGAACAATTTTGTAATCATGGGTTTCAATTTGGGAATTGAGTTTACAAATTTGAAAATTAGATCATAAATATGAAAATTTGAATTACAATTTTGGGATTAAGGTTAGGATTGGATAGGGTTAGGGTTGGGGGTTCACAATTTTGGAATTGGATTTGCAAATTTGGAATTTAGATTACAGTTGTGAATGTCTGAATCACAGTTTTGGAATGAGGATTAGGGTTAGGTTTGGAAAGGTTTATGGGGATTACAATTTTGGAAAAAAACAGAAAATTGGAATACTTTGATCACAGCTTTGGATCATCACAAATTTGGAATTTTGGATCATGTATTTGAAATAAGCATCAAAATACTGGAATATAGGATCACAGCATGACAAATGGTATGAAAATATAAGTACTGAATTACAAATTGTGAAGAGGAACCAACCTTAGAGTCTATTACAATTATAGCATGATAAAAATGTGTTTCCAGAAGTATAATCACCAGCTCAACAGCACTCAGGAAAATAGTGGTACTGCAATCAATCTCCAAACTTTATTCATGTTTTTTATTAATAAATATAAGTGCTAAAATTGTGAAAGAACATCAATATTAACAGTCAGTCCCTAGACTGTCCTTAGAGACCATATTAAAAAATACATTTCACATATTCACAAAATTCAAAATACATATTGAATTTTGAAAAATATTTCAGATTTTAATATAAATTGCTCTGGGGCTCTAATTAGGGTGTGTGTGGGGCTGAGTTGCCTAGGTGTTGTTTAGGTGGGAGAGTTGATTAGTTGTGTTTGAGAATGTATATGGGAGAAGTTTTTAGGTGTGTGTGAGGAGGTGTGTAGAAGAGCTGATTAATATAGATGATTAAAATTTTACTCTGCATTGTTTTTTATTATTATCAAGTATTTATTTGAGTTGAAAAAACACAGTGAACCCAGAGCTTGTTACCATATGAAGTAAATGTGTAGCACAGTACTGAATGGGTAATCAATGCTTTATAGCTTCTTTATAAACAGTTATAAAGGGCTGCCTGATTTTAAATGCCAACACCGAAAATAGAAAGCTGTCATGCATAATTTACAATGAAAATAAATTTCCCCTTCTCGGTAGGGCTGTCACCTGGACACGCTAAATTGCCCCTATATGTGATTGTGTGTGTGGATGTATATGTCTGTCTGTGATGGATGGCCTTCCACCCAATGACCCCTGGGACAGGCTCCAGCTCCCCCCATGACCCAGAAAGATAAGCAGCATATAAAACTGTATGTGTGTGTGTGTGTGTAATTAAAAAAGAATGTTTTTGGCAACAAATTGATAATTTATTTTAAAACCTTTTAACTGACTATCTTTATCACACCAGATACAGAATGTTTTCATGAAGATAAACAAATAGAATAAAAGACAAATTAAGATCCTAAACATTTATATGAATTAATGATATCAGTAAATATTTCTAGCTGGCTAAGTTTGGTAGAACTCAAAGAAAATATAAAAAAAAGTAATTGTGGGGGTGTTTAACTCCACCATATCCCATTTTTGGTCCATAAAAAATGTGATCTATAATAAAATCTTAAAGTCTTTTGCATTTGAAGAGGTTTGAATGTAATTTCCTGAAGAAAGACACTGGCTGTGGTCTTTCAGTCACATGATTCATCTCTGTCTGATGCTCCTCCTCCACATCATCATAGTCTGTAGAACAACAAGAACATTAAACTCTTTAAAATAATAACAATGAACTATATCTTTCTTATAGTGAATGTATTCCAAAAACACACGAAAAAGAAGAACAGAAAGCTTGCACTATGCAAGTCTATGTAACAGGTGGTCTGCATCTCAGAACAAGTTGTTTTTAAAAGTTTCTTTTCAATACTTTTTAAAAGACTACCATAGTGCTAAGATGCTAAGAATGCTAAGAAGATGCTACAGTGCTGCCAGTGAATAGTGAATGAGTGTAGTTTAGTCTGATTCGCCAGGTTAGTCTTTAAGTCAAGACTCTTCAACTCTGGTCAGAGGAATCTCCAAACTGTGCTGGACACTGACCCACCAGAACTTACAGCTCTATAGGTCTATTCTGTGTTCTTGATTAAAAGATACTAACAAACAAGCAACCAACTTTGTTTAAGTTTAAATCATCTGCACTGTCCCATCATTCTTAGAATACACAGATGCAGAGAGGACTGATGGCATTGCTGTACTAATCATTATCAATCTTATTCATGTGCACACTTCTACACTTCTACACATCTGCACAACTGCAAGTCAGGGCTGGACTGGGAACTAAATACAGCCCAGTTTTTTTGTCTAGACCAGCTCACTACTAACTACGTGATCTCCCCCGACCATGACCCCAAAAAACGCAAATCCCATAGCCTTGAGGCCTATTCATACATGTCACGTACTCAAATGTAGAACAAGTTTTAAAAATTAACACATGTATATTAGTGCTGTCTTTCACATTGAGTCTAAAACTGATGGATGGTGTGTACATTTAATCGGAACTCCTCGATTTGCTGTGTTGTACATTAAAAATCAGACCGACCAATCAGAGCTCTGTTGTCATGGTTGCAGCCCAAACAAATGTGCATCAGGATGATGACAGAACTCATCTTGCTTATTGCAGAGCACAAAAACTTATACAACAAGCAATATACTGAATATAAAATGCACATGTTAAAGAAAATATATGGCGGGCCGGGCTGAAAGGAGGGTGAATGACAGTGAGTACATTACAGTGACTGAGACTATAGCCTTTTTTAGTTTATCTAGGTGCGTTCTAGTCTGTTCATGCCCACAAAGAATCTCAAACTATTAGCCTAACTCGCTAATGAGCAATCATTTTAATGAGGTAGCAATTAGAAGAAGCAGAGCCTCAAATACAATGAGGTGAAATCAGTGTGTGTGTCATTTAGTACAGCACTTAAAAGAAAAAAATGAATCTCTCAAGGAATCAATTTGTTCTTCCCTTTTCATCTTCGGTGCATCAGATTTGGTGTGAAGATACCACTACATTAAAGATCCCATCTGTTTTTTTTTTTGATATGGATAGGCCTTTAGTATATAAGAGTGGCTAACTTACCCCTTCTGCCCTGCAGTTCCTTACTCTGATATCAACAAATTGTGTACTTTCATTTCTTCTTTTCTTTGTGTCTTACTTAAGTAACTTTGCTGTGTTTCTTTCTGTGCCCTTACGCTTTTTGGAAGTTTTTCCATCTCTTTCTATCTAGCCTTCGTGGTTGAACTTTCCTGGTTGTTATCATTATGCTTTGTTCTATGGGCGGCGGCATCTGCGTGCCACGCACTGAGAATGCATCACGCATTTCTCTCTCTCAGCCACTCACATATATATAGCGGCCCACCAAGAATTGTCCCAGTTCTGCCTATGGCCAGTTCACCCCTGCTTAGAGTGTGAAAGTAAATACGATTTATAAATTAGTCGCATGCATTAATATTTCTGCACTTCTTTAAAGAGTGAATAAGGATGGTACTTGTTAGAAAAAGTGCAGCTTTCTGCTCTACATCAAAATAATGAGGGCACTGTTTATTTATCATATGCCATAGATATGCAAACATAATTTCACAAGATGTCCTGTGTGCCTAAATCACTTTCTTCATCCTTCTCATTAATATTCATGTGGAATGTAGACACTCACCTTTTTTCTATCTTATATCCTGTCCAGCAGTGATGACATCATTATAGTTCTCTGGTGTGTCCACTACACCAACATGGGAAGAAAAATTATAACAATAACAAACAAAACAGATGTTTTAACTGTTGATGTTTCAGTTTTAAATGATTTGTCTATATTAAGTAAAACCTACCTGTCATAATGTTGGAGTTTGGTCCAGCAGTAACAGCATCATCATAGTTATCTGTCATGTCTTCTGTCAAAATGTAGATAAATGTCATTAAATCAGCATCAGTATCATCAGAGATTGTGTTCGTTTGAGATTACAGTATTGTTATATTACAAGTCAAACCTGTTACAACAGCTGAGCTCTGAGCAGCAGTGATGACATCATCATAATTCTCTGCTACGTCCTCTACACCAAAAATGATATGAAATCATATTTTATACAGTTGTATTTGCCAGGTGTTTAAGCGAATGTAGGATTTTATGACACTGTGTTGCTATTAAGTTATTCAGTTTAAGTCATATATTACTTTTTACAAAATATCATTTAATAAACATAAATGAATTAATTTTGGTCAGTTTTTCCAATGTTGGGAGCATCAAAATATCCTCCTGCACTTATGTGTGACCACTGCTGCTGGACAGTAAAGCTCCACAAATTATTCAAAAAAGTAATTACAAATACAGACTATAAGATAATTCTAATTTCATAGCATTTGTTATGCTTTTTAATGCCTACTTAATTAAAAAAATTAAAACCCCAAAACAGAAACACACCTGATACACTATCAGAGATCTGTCCAGCAGTGATGATGTCATCATAGTTATCTGCTGTGTCCTCTTTTGCTGATTCACCTACATCAAATAAAAGCAGACTGACTTTACAAACAGTGCATTCATATTTTTACATTGTGGTTTGATGTAAAGACAAAATCAGGTAATTAATTAATAAAGGAACTCACTTATCAGGCCTCTGGTGGTGACATCATAATATTCTGCCCTTACCCCAGTCAGAGACTCTGCTACAAAAAGAGCAAAGTCTGTCACTTTTAATTACAACTGAAAATAAAATCCTCAATCAGAGATGTTTTAATGTTACAATTTGTGTGATTCCATTATGATTATGGAGAGAAGCATTTCCAACAGACACTTCTGACCAAGAGAAAAATCAATCTATAATCAGAGAAACAATCTAGATTCACTGATAAAGAGAATTTCAATCTGAAATAGCAAAAGAGCAACAAATGGAACTGCATTTTCTGCATAAATATTGCAGATAAATACTGTAGATGTATGATGTACAAGAGCTAAAACTATTGTCATTTGAAAATAGTAAGTAAAAAGTCTGTAAAAATTTAACTGAACACATGTAACTGGGTAAATTTAGCTGAGTGAATGTAACTAGTTACTCCTCACTTCCATTGCTTTGTTTCAAATATTTAATTTACTCTAGGGCTAAATGTTCCTGGCATAAAACAAACTGACTAAACAAAATGACTAAAATAAACTTGACTTAAGAAACATGTTTTTTAATGAATTCTCTAATTTCTAAATTGTGATTGTAATATTTCTCAGCTGAATGGAGTTTAACACACACATGCTCTGGTCCTCTTACCTGAGAGAAGCTCCTCATCCACATTCTCATATCCTGAATGCTGTTCTTCAGAGAGGATACTTCCTGTTAGAGGAGAGCAGAACAGTCATCAAACACATTCAGAATGCAGAACCACCCACAATCCTCTGAGTGCTGTGGATCATTGTAAACTGGGTCAGTTACAGGAAAAAATATCAGTGCAGCCTGTAGGGGCACTCTCAGACACAAAACTAGAACTAGAACACAGACCCAAACACTCCCCTGACCCATCTCTCTCTCTCTCTATCACACACACACACACACACATATGAACAAAAAAACAAACTCTACCACCGTCCCTCTTTCAGTGAAAAATTAACACTTTATTAATTTATTAATTTTACCGAAGTTTCAAATAAATTACCTAAGATACAATATTAATTAAATTAGAGTTTAATAATTATAATTAATAATTGTATTAGTCATGTAATATTAATAATTTCAGAACATTACATTGTAAGTCTTTTATAAGCTACAGAATGGGATTAAAATGATGTAGAAAAGTGTTGGATATATTTTCATTATTCTGGTTATGATTGATCAGCGCTGAGGCTAAAAGGTTGTATATATTGACATATAATTTTGATTCCATTATCTTATTTTTGGAAATATTCATGTATTTATTGTTATTTGTTGAATGCTGCACTTATTGTGCTTTTGAACAGGCTGGTTGTGATAGAGTTCAGTTGGTCCAGTGCTGGTTATCTCTAGGTTGATGTGCTTAATGCTTTTAATTTGTGCTGTAAAGATTTTTGTCGTGTTCTTGCATTTGCACCTCATGGATTTGGCTTGTAACTTACATAAATAACAGTTATGGAAGCAATGAAGGTTATGATTTAAGGAACATTCATTTTATCAGATAAAAGCAATAGGGGGACTGTGGAAGAGTGAAGCTTCATCATTAGTGATGTTGTGTGAGTAGTATGAGTAGTATGGCCCAGTATGAGTCTCTGTTACAGTTATTAATAACAACACTGCCCGCACTTGGCACAAGCACAGCACACTACTGCTCAATAACACAAACACTGGCTCACTCACTTACTGACAACTCTGACTGACTGACTTACTAACTCACAGGCAGCATCTGAAAAATTGAAATAAGTTTTCTTTACTATCCTTAATACTTTCATTAATTTTGTGTGTTCTGATTCGACCTGACCAACATTTTTCTATCAAATCTGTCAGTAGATTTACTAAAGCTCAGGGCTACAGATCTTAAAGTTACATTTAACTATTCTACAAACTCACTGACTGATTCATTTGCTCACTCTCTTACTTACAGACTGACTTATTTAGTCACACACCTGTTTACACACTCACTCATTCAATCACTCTCTAACTTGAATGCTCACATATGACTCAGTCATTGACTCACTGACTGACTCATTTACTCACTCACTGAATAACTGGCTCATTCAATCACACACTCGGTTACTGACTTACTCTGTCATTTGGTCACTCACTCAGTCACTCAATCACTCAGTCAATCATTAGTTTGGTCATTTACTTACTAACTGACTTGGTCACTTGGTCATTCAGTCACTTGGTCACTCTGTCACTTGGTCATTTAATTACTCACCCAGTCATTCATTTTATCACTCATACACCCACTTGGTCATTTGGTCACACCAACTCCTTTGGTCACTCACTTTGTCCCATGGTCACTCACGTGATCATTCATATAGTTAGTCACTTAGTCGGTCACTTAGTCACTCAATTGGTGCTCTCAGTCACTCTTACGTCACTTATTTGATTATTCTTATCATCATTCACTCACCCACTTGGTCACTTGGTTACATTAACTCACTTGGACACTCACTCGGTCACTCACTAATCACTTACTTGCTCGCTCGGTCACTCAGTCACTCACTCACCCGCTTGGTCACTCAATTGCTCATTCAAACATTTGATCACTCACTCGAGCACTAAGTCACTTGGTCACATAGTCACTCACTTGGTCACTTCATCAATTGGTCACTGGACGTTAATCACTTAGTCACACACTCGATCATTTACTCGATCATTACTAACACAATTCATGAAGTACTTGGTCACTCATTTACTTAGTTGATCACTCTGTCAATCTCTCACTCTATTACTCACTCGATAACATGGCTGCATCACTCGTTCTCTCACTCAGTCAGTCATGGACTCATTCACTAATACATTAGTTTACTCAATGGTCACTAACTAAATCACTCACCAAGTCACTTACTATGCCACTCACTCGGTTGGCCACTTGACCACTCACTACGTCACTAATTCTTTTGTTTGGGTACTTGTCATTCATTTATTCATTCACTGATTGATGGCCTCACTCACTCAATAACTCAATGACACACACACACACACACACACATACACACACACACATGCACAAACATGCACACACAGTGATGTCGTCCCCCCACTCTCTCCCTCTCTCTGTCTCTGTCTCTCTCTCTTTCTCTCTCTCTCCCAAACACACACACACACACACACACACACACACACACACACACACACACACACACACACACACACACCTGCAGCTGTGTGGTTTGTCTGTATGTACAAAAAAGGAAGTTTTACAGGAATTACACAGTTTAACCTCAGCTGCCTAATAGATGCTACATGTAGATCTACTCTAACTGCACATTTCATCTAATATACACTAAACCGATTTACTCTTATTATTAATATACTGAGATTCATTTTGAATTCATTTGAGAATATTAAATATTGCTTTAATGACTGGGCAAGACAGCATGCATTGCAGTATAATCTATAATCTCTACTGTAAATATATTTTAATTTAATACAATAAGCCTCATGTAGAACACTCCATATATCACTCACCCCTTTGAGTCAGGTCATTTCTTTTAGTGATGTATTTGCGGTCGATCTCCTCATAGACTGGCTCAGTCAGAGTCTTACACCTCCTCTTAGAGAGCACTATGAGGGAGACAGAGAGAAACATGAACCAGTTCAGTAGAAGAGAAGACTGATGACAGATTGAAGGACTAATGATGTTTAGAGAATGTACAGAAAGTGGATTGTAGATGATCTCTGAATCTCTCTACCTCTCCTGAGCACTCTGTTCTGGTAAAACAGCACAACCAGAAGCACTAAGGCCAGGAAGAGCACCGCTCCCAGAACCAGGAGAGACACTGGATAGATGGATGGAACAGCAGGCGGAGGAGTCTGGGGAGCAGTGATTGCTCGCTCCACTGTCTGACCAACTGCAAACAACAATACAGAACAGAACTCTGTATGGCACTAAACAGTCTATTCACAAACATCTAGAAAACAGACCTAGGAGATAAAAATAGTACCTGTAGGGGTGAAGGTGGTGATTGTTGTTATGAATGAAGCAGTAAAAGGCACAGATACATCTGTAAATACAGAAGCAATTCACACAATTAAAAAATAACTACAACAACAACAAAGCCCAAAAACAGTCATTCACTAAAGTAAGATTATGTTAACTGGAAATTCTGTATCAGACTTCATTTTACTTAAGAACTGCATGTGTCAGACTACCATGAGATGATATTTGCATTAATGTAGTCTTTCAAAGGAGCCTTGTATATGTTTTGGCAGGTAAAACTGTCTTGACTGGAGTCAGAAATGCCAAAGTCCAGCAGACTCCTCTGACCTGCACAGGTGACTCCAGCGTCCTGCCTGTGGGAGCAGTCAGTGTGTTCCTTCAGGGAATGAGGACAGTCCCACAGGTGAATCTCATTCCCTCTACACTTCACTCTGTTCAGCCAGATAGGCCCTTCACCAGCACCAAAGACAGCACTCCCATCAGCACTCAGCGCCGGCCCACAGCCCAGCTGTCTGCAGACCACCTGAGCGTCCTTGATGTCCCACTGATCATCACAGATGGATCCCCACACAGCGTTATGATACACTTCCAGCCTCCCAGAGCAGCTTCCTTCTCCTTCCTTCAGCCTGAGAGGCAGGTCATCTACATAAACATAATACATGAATGGGGAAACCAGGTTGATCTGTGATAACTCACAACAGAACAAACTGATCATGAGCAGTGGAGTATAATGTCAAGCTTAATATTTTCTTTTAATTAAGTTAGAGAACACCAGAAAAAAATCTCTCTTGAGTAGATAACTGAAATGAATGTTCCTACTTGAGCACTGCTTCTGGTAGAGAGATGAAGTACATGTCTGACGAGTGTGTGGTTGGCTTTGTTCTGTCATGACAACAAAAATTAAAACAAAAATAAACCAAACTCCCAGATTGCTCTATTTATAAGCAGAATGCTAACATCATGAGCTGCATTTCATGGCAAAGTCAGTCTGAAACACTTTTGCTTATGCCAATACATGAAGGTGCTACAATCTCTAGATAGGAACTGTCTACCTGAGCAGGTAATTTGAGCCACTTCATTGCGATTATCACAGTTGTTCTGTCCCCAAAGAGAAGAAGGACAATGCCACAGAGTGGAGTCATGTTTTCTACATTTCACACCATCCAGCCAGTTAGGAGATGATTCCACTCTTGCTCTACCCCAGGACACACTGCCAGATCTTCCACAGTTCAGCTCTCGACAAACCACATTTGCTGTTTCTTCAGACATTTGGTTTAAACACACATTACCCCAGGTTCCATCGTAGAACACTTCCAGATTCCCCTCACAGCCCTTAGTGAGTCTGATCTCTTTAAACTCTGATGGGACAAGAATGACTTTACTTGAAATGAAAACATTTGTAAGTAGTATTTACTTCTAGAATTACCTAGTGTGAAAATATGCTACTTTAAAAGTTATAATGTTCTACTATGAATGTCCTTTGAACAAATATTGACACAGGGACCACATATCAGTGGTTTAAAATGTGCTGCTTGTATTTTTATAATAACTTTGAAAGATTATCAGCTTCAGGATTATCTGTCAGCTACAGCTGCCTCAAAATTTCAAGTAAAAAGGTATTTAGCACATTGTACCTGTGCACACAACTCCTACATCCTCCGTGTGTTCACAGTGACATTCACATTCATTCTCTCCACACGGCTGAAATCTGCAGTTCCACAGGGACGTCTCGTTCCCCTCACACTCCACCTCATTCAGCCATATGGGTCCAGTTCCAGGTCCAAACTGGGCTGGTACAGAAGAACTGAGGGCCACTCCACACTGCAGCTGTCTACACACCACCTGTGCATCCTTAATGTCCCACAAGTCATCACTCACTGTCCCCCATGAGCCGTTGTAGAAAACCTCCAGCCTTCCTGCACAGTCTCCTCCAGAACCAACCAGCCTGATGGAGCTGTGAGCTGAATTAAACTTACCTACACACACACACACACACACACACACACACACACACACACACACATACACACACACAAAATACATATACATATATATATATATATATATATATATATATATATATATATATATATATATATATATACACACACACACACATCAGTTAAATTATTCACACATTATATTTGTGTGTCTGTCTACATAAGGAAAAAAAATCCTTTGACTCTGAACAATAAAGAGTACCATATATTTTGGTAAAATATGTCATATTTTACAATTATTTTAGGAACATTGTTTGCCACTTTTCAGATGTTGATTCTACATTATTTACCAGAGCAGGTGATTGAGAGCTGTTCCCTGGAGCTGCAGTTGACTGCTTGTGTGCTGCTGCAGTTCCCCAGATGAGCTTCACTCCCAGAACAATTGAAACCAGTCACACACATGTGACTGTGTTCAGGACTGGATGGAGAGGAGCTGAAGAAGCTGATCACAGAGCCACAGCCCAGCTGTCTGCAGACCACAGAGGCCTCAGACTCACTCCAGGAGTCCAGCAGAACTCTCCTCCAGTCCTGCATGAAGTAAATCTCCACCTCCCCCTCACACCCCATCCCTCCAGACAACCGCACTCGCCCCTCATGAAACGCCAGAGAGGAACCTGAAGAGGAAAAAATATCACTTTCTATTTGACTGAAGTTGTGTTTCACTTAAACAGGCATTTTTAAAAATAAACAAAAATACATGATTCTGTAAGCTCACCACTGCAGATGACTCCAGCATCCTGTTTATGAGAGCATGCAGTTCGACTCCATGATGTAATGGGACATTTTGACAGGTGTTTTTCGTTCCCCTGACAGTCAAACACATCAGCCCAGATCCGGCCACTCCCCTCCCCAAACCAGTCTGACCCTAACACAGCCACAGCACTCCCACACTTCAGCTGACCACAGAGGACACTGGCAGCTCTCATATCCCAGCTTACATCACACACTGTGCCCCACTCACTGAGGTACAGGAGCTCCACTCGACCAGAACAGGAGTCAGAGCCGTTCACCAGCCGAGACTCAGTGTGACCTGAATCAACATCACATTACAGAAATATATATGTATGACAGCAGTCCAGTAGCAAATACTGTGGCAAGCAGTGGCAAAGCCTACTGATATTTTTAAAAACGAATCTCATTTAAATTGAACTCTTGATACTTTACCAGCACACACCAGACCCACATCTCTGTCATGGGAGCATTTGTGTCTGAGTGAAGATGATGTTGGACAGAAGTGAATCTGAGACTCGTTGCCTCTACACTGAAGCTTGTTTGTCCACACCTGACCCTCCCCTCTGCCAAAAGCAGCTGCTCCCAGCACCTCCACAGGAAGCCCACAGTCCAGCTCTCGACACACAACCTCTGCATCCTGCTGGTCAAACTCAGCATCACACACTGTGGACCAGGTCTCTCCATGAAGCACCTCCACTCTTCCAGAGCACAGGTGGAAACCATCAGTAAGTCTGGACTTTCTGTGTCCTGTGAGCATTTGAAGTACAATGACACTAAGCACAGTACAAAAAAGATGCAGATTTACATATGCTTGACACTTGGTTAAAAGTGAAACTAATATGTAACAGTAGTTCAGTAGCACACACACACACACACACACACACACACACACACACACACACACACTCACACACACACACACCTACACACACACACACACACACACACACACACACACACACACACACACCAAATTAATTTCTTTTTCTTTAAAAGATGATACTGATGACACTTGAAGGGGATACAAGCTTTTTGGTTTGCCTTCAGAATTCACATTTGATTGATTGTTATTCAGTCTTATGATGGACACAGATGGAAATAAAGCTCATTGCTTTATTTTAACTAACAGGAGATATCTGACAAAATTTTCCAGATGGAATTAGTGATACAGTTGTCCTTATTGTCTAACTAGGGAACAAACTGGCTGAAAGATGTGACCATATAAAACCAGATCTCTTGATAACATTTTGTTGCAGCTTATGTGTAGAGGAAGCCTTATAAAAATATGTCTGGATACTCCAAGTAGGTAGCTGGTATCTTTTATACATACTATCATTTTTCCTGTATGATTTTCATTTGAGTGAGTAGCCAGAAGTTACAACAAGCAGCGGAGAAACTGTGTGTAGAGTGGAAGGCTAGGCAACATATTACCTTTGCCATAGAAACTGATCAAGTGTGTATGTTAAAAACGCATTCGATTCAAATTAGACTACATCATGATTAATGTTTTTACTTCTCGCACATCTTCCACAGTTGCTCCCCATTTGGCAGCTAATGATGTAAAAGATCCAAATTAATACCACTAAAAATCTTTGGTAAATTTGGTAATGATATTATGGTAATAAAGATATCAAGCATATATTCTTTCATGGAAAAGATAAACTGCAGATTACCTGAGCAGATGACTCCAGCATCTAAACCATGATGACAGTTATGTTTACCCCAACCTAATGATTTACAGTTCTTCAGTGTAGACTCTGGTCCACTACAGTCCACTACATTCATCCAGATTTGTCCTGATCCTTGTCCAAAGTGAGCTCTTCTCAGTGCATCTACAGCATCTCCACAGCCCAGCTTTCTACACACCACTGCAGCATCTCTCATATCCCAGTTATAATCACACACTGTTCCCCACTGTCCTCTGTGAAGAACCTCCACTCTCCCAGCACAGCGACTGCCACCATCCACCAACCACACAGTGTCTGTACAAAAGGGAAAGGTGGAGAAATATGTTAAAAATGACATGTTGTACGTTAAGAGTATTAAGACTAAATGATGTAGATGCATCTTACCAGAACACACCAGACTCACATCACTGTCATGGGTGCAGTTGTGTCTGAGTGAAGATGATGTTGGACAGAAGGAAATCTGAGATTCGTTGCCTCTACACTGAAGCTCCTCTGACAACACCTGACCCTCCCCTCTGCCAAAAGCAGCTGCTCTCAGCACCTCCACAGGAAGCCCACAGTCCAGCTCTCGACACACAACCTCTGCATCCTGCTGGTCCAAGTCAGCATCACACACTGTGTACCAGGTCTCTCCATGAAGCACCTCCACTCTCCCAGAGCAACAAGAACCACCAACCAGCCTGACTCCTAAAATATTTTCACATCAAATCAGAGATTATGCAGTTTTTGATAAACAATATAATGCAATTAATTAAAATAGTTTAAATGTACAAAAGTTTTGCAGCTTTTTTCTGGAAACACATATGTTTCTAAAGACAAATAGACAAATTTTATCTGAAGGTTTCAAGAAATGCAAGTAGGAAAATTCAACAATTTCTGAAATGCTAATGATTATAATTAAAAACTATTCTAATTAAAGGCTATTAAATGAAATATGAATGTCAAAATTAATCTTATTAAATAGTTTATTCAAATTCAGTAAAACCTACCTGAACAGACGACTCCAGCATCTTTTGAATGATCACAGTCATGTTCACCCCATCTTGCTGACACACAGTTCTTCAGTGTAGACTCTGATCCACTGCAGTCCACATTATCCATCCAGATGGGTCCTGATCCTGGTCCAAAGTGAGCTCTACTCAGTGCATCTACAGCGTCTCCACAGCGCAGCTCTCTACACACCACTGCAGCATCTCTCATATCCCAGCTATCATCACACACTGTTCCCCACTGTCCTCTATGAATAACCTCCACTCTCCCAGCACAGTGACTGCCACCATCCACCAACCTCACACTGTCTGTAGAACAGAGAGAGAGAGAGAGAGAGAGAGAGAGAGAGAGAGAGAGAGAGAGAGAAAGAGAGAGAGATTTCAGGAACACACTCAGTTTCATATCATGGCTAAAGGGGAATGACCAGTTATTGTGGTGCTCTGAAAAAAAAACGTTTGGGAAACAGAAATCAAAGTCACACTTTTTAGAAATTAGAATTAATTGCAATAAGGCTGAATTAGAAATCAGAGGAAACTGCAGTGATTCAAATTTCTTTATTTGTATAACAGTCTGACTTGGTTGGCTGTACAGGCTGAAAATAATTACAGTGCACAGCAGAAAGACACTTCTTAAACATCAAACACAGTGTCAACATTTTAATACCTTTAATTAAAGTAAATCATAAAATAAGCCATATGTAGACAGACACAATTTTTTTACAGTAATTCAGTCACAGAGATACAATTTTCTTCCAGGCTACATATATATTGCTTACCAGCACACACCAGGCCCACATCACTGTCATGGGTGCAGTTGTGTTTGAGTGAAGATGATGTTGGACAGAAGTAAATCTGAGATTCGTTGCCTCTACACTGAAGCTCCTCTGACCACACCTGACCTTCCCCTCTGTCAAAAGCAGCTGCTCCCAGCACCTCCACAGGAAGCTCGCAGTCCAGCTCTCGACACACAACCTCTGCATCCTGCTGGTCAAAGTCAGCATCACACACTGTGGACCAGGTCTCTCCATGAAACACCTCCACTCTCCCAGAGCAGTGAGAACCACCAACCAACTTGACTTTTCCTAAAATATGAACATGACAGAACAGTGATAATAAAAAACAAACATTGATGATCAACAGCAAAATTATGTGCTTTTCCAGTTTAGGATCACCCAGACGTCAAAATCATTAGTTGGTCATTGTTTTTTTGTGTTGCACTTTGCACAAAGTTATCTTCTATTAATTTAGGTTTTGATGTGTAGAGACACTTTATTCTTTCAACAAATGTCTCTTTCAATAAAATATGTAAAATGTCCAAAATCATTTTTATACCAAAATGTAAGTTGTCTATTTACTAAACTGAGAAATTGCATAGTTTTTTTGAAAAATATATGTCTATTTTCAATTGATGCCATCAACATTTTTCGAAAAAGTATGAATAGGGACATGTTTACTACCGTGCTGCATTATCTCTTCTTTTAACAACATTCTGTAAGTGAACTGAGGGGATTAACTGCTGTAGTTTTGAAAGTGAAACATTTTCCTATTCTTGCTTGATACAGGATTTCAGCTGCTCAACAGTTCAGGGTTTCCATTGTGGTATTTTTAGTTAAATAAACAAGGCCTTCCCTGAAAAAGACATCACCTGTAAAACATGTATATATCGTTCAGCATTAATGGTGCCTGCACAGATGTGCACGTCACCCGTGCCATGTGCACTAATGCACCCCTATATGAATCATGAATTTGAGCAGACACGCAGACAAAGAGATTGCATATTCATTCAAAATTGAGCGCAGAAATCAAAGCCTTAGCTCTGCCCGCAAGAGGTCTGTGCAGATAATTAGGAAACAAAGGAAAAGCAGAGAGAGAGAGAGAAACATCTGACCTCGAGAGAAGAAGATGTAGCTTTCTCTCCCTTTATACTTTAAATCTGCAGATTTTAGATTTTAGTTTTTATTTTTGTTTCATGTCTTAGTGTGTTGTGTCTTTGGTCTCTTCAAGTTTCAAGGCTGTAAGATACACTTTCACTTCTGCTGTACATGTTTTGGTCTTTCTGCGTTACTCTGTCCCCCTTTTAATCTAAATTTAGGCCAGTCGTTATGTTAGCAGTTATACTCTGTTCTATGTACTGCTCAAATGCCATAAAATAACCATTTCTGAGTCTCAGCTAATTACAGTATGTTCATCCAGAGAACGTCATGTCTCTAGTTTTCTCTGCATATCTATTGATTTAGAATTTAGTGGCTATATTATTCTTTCATTAAATGTCTGTTTTATTAAATTGTTTAAGATCTGTCTCTAACACCAAAATGTAAGTTGTCTATGTATAATCACTCACATGTCACAGATGCAGAGAACAGAAGAAATCTTATATCACGGTAATGATGATATTAGGCAAATGTAAATTCAAGTGATGAATGACTGCAGATTACCTGAACAGATGACTCCAGCATCTGAATAATGATAACAGTCATGTTTACCCCATCCCTGTGATTTACAGTTCTTCACTGTAGACTCTGATCCACTACAGTCCACTTCATTCATCCAGATTTGTCCTGATCCTTGTCCAAAGTGAGCTCTACTCATTGCAGCTACAGTGTCTCCACAGCCCAGCTCTCTACACACCACTGCAGCATCTCTCATATCCCAACCATGACCACACACTGTTCCCCACTGTCCTCTATGAAGAACCTCCACCCTCCCAGCACAGCGACTGCCACCATCCACCAACCTCACAGTGTCTGTATGAGAGAGTGAGAGAGAGAGAGAGAGAGAGAGAGAGAGAGAGAGAGAGAGAGAGAGAGAGAGAGAGATTAAGATTGATTGATTGATTGATTGATTGATTGATTGATTGATTGATTTCAGGAGCACATTAAACACCAGACGGTTAAAAGGGATTAAAGAGTTATTGTGCTGCTGGGAGAAATGTCTGCAGCAGGAATCACAGTCTTACTTACATAGAATTCCATATAAATTGCTTCATTTATTGAGAAATCAGAGGTAACTGCAGTGAATTTAATTTCATTATTTGTATAACAGTTAGATTTTTTAATCTGAACAGGTTGAAAATAATTATGATGCACACCAGAGAGTGTTACATCTTAATCTTCAAATAGAGTTTAAACCATTCAAAACCGTATATTAAAAACAATCACAAAGTAAGTCAAATGTAAACAGTAAATCAGCCACAGATATAATAATTTTCCAGGCCACATACATATTTCTTACCAGCACACATAGTCTCACATCACTGTCATGGAAGCAGTTGTGTTTGAGTGAAGATGATGTTGGACAGAAGGAAATCTGAGATTCGCTGCCTCTACACTGAAGCTCCTCTGACCACACCTGACCCTCCCCTCTGCCAAAAGCAGCTGCTCCCAGCACCTCCACAGGAAGCCCACAGCCCAGCTCTCGACACACAACCTCTGCATCCTGCTGGTCAAAGCCAGCATCACACACTGTGGACCAGGTCTCTCCATGAAGCACCTCCACCCTCCCAGAGCAGCGATGAGGACCACCAATCAGCTTGACAACACCTAAAATGTTGCCATGAAAGAATAACTGACAGCAACGTTTTTATGTGCTTTTCCAGTTTAGGATGTCACGGATATCAGAATCATTAGTTGCAGGTGTGTTCCTGTTTTCCACTTTGTACAAAGCCATTGTCTATTAATCTAATTTTGAGATTAATCTAATCTGATGTTTAGAGACACGTCTGTTTTATTAAAATGTGTTAGATGTTTACATTTCTTTAACACCAAAAATGAAAGTTATCTATGTATAATCACATGACACTTATGTAGAAAATAGAAAATGAATCTTATAATATGGTAATGATGTTACTAGGTATCTGTCAATTCATGGAAGTAATGACTGATTGCAGCTCACCTGAGCAGATGACTCCAGCATCTAAATAATGATGACACTTATTTTCGTCCCATCCCTGTGATTTACAGTTCTTCAGTGTAGACTCTAATCCACTACAGCTCACATAATTTATCCAGATTGGTCCTGATCCTGGTTCAAAGTGAGCTCTACTCAGTGAATTTACAGCATCTCCACAGTTCAGCTCTCTACACACCACTGCAGCATCACTCATATCCCAGCCACCTTCACACACTGTTCCCCACTGTCCTCTATGAAGAACCTCCACTCTCCCAGCACAGCGACTGCCACCATCCACTAACCTCACACTGTCTGTAGAACAGAGAGAGGATGAGAAAGGGGGATTTCAATAACAACCTTAGCTCCACATCAATATTAAAAGCAATTGGAGTTATACACTGTGTTAGGATAGGTAGTGCACGGTGTGGGGAATTTGTCCCAGCTTCCCACTTTTAAACCTCTAAATGGAACTAATGGGCTTGTGCTCTCCGTCCTGGAAGGACTGTGCTTGGCCTGGAGTGATGGAGGGGCCCCCCCCCACCCCATTAACACTCACTTTACCTTTGTACATACTGATCAACACGTCAACTGCATGCACCTAGGTTAGGGGTTTGCAATTGAGTATATATATATATATATATATATATATATATATATATATATATATATATTTATAAGATCCTTAAATAGAACTAGAATAATAGTTAGTCGTTTAAACCCTTAACAGTTGGCGGCTCGTCCGGGATATTAATAACAGTAAGTTTAGAGTAGACGACATTAGTTTATAGTGATTATCCAGGGTGTAGTGTGTGTGGTGACAGATTTGGTGAATGTGAGATTTGGTAGAGTTAACTGTGATTTTTGTAGTAGGATTAGCGTGTAGCCAAACAGAGTGCTAAAAAAAACAGAATGGCCAGAAGAAAAATGGCCTTGGTTGGTCCAAAATGTCTTGGTGCTCGGCAGCAGGATGTGGCATTTGATAGGTGGCTTGCAGCCTGTGAAGTGTATACTTTTCAAGATTTACCAAGGGGTGCACCAGGTAAAGAAGGCAGCCATAATGGCTGATTCTTATGAGCTGATTTATAAAGATATATCTTGGAAAGGGAGATTAGCAGGTAGAGAGGACTGTAGACCCACATATGATGTGCCCAAGTCTATTGGGGTTGAGCCCAAATCAGGGCTGCCACCACTACCCTCAGGAGGGGTGACAAGTTGTATCAGTCTTGTACTGAGATTTTGTGTCATTACTGTAAGAGGCCTGGCCATATAAAATCAGGTTGTCCAATTCTTGCTAAAAAGGAAGGAAGCAAGCCTATAGCTCTTGTTGCAACTGAAACAGTGGTGAAGTCGGAGTTTGCTCCTGGTCCAATGCCAGATCTACATGAAGAATTTGTTTCTGGTGGTACTGTGGCTGTCTCGCCAGAAGGGGAGGTGGTGCCAGTGACCATATTAAGAGATACTGGTGCTGCTTTGTCTTTATTATTGGACAGAGTTTTGGAGTTGCCCGAACGTATGTCAGCTGGGGCTTCCGCTTTAGTGAAGAGCTTGGGTAGTCAGTTTGAAACTGTTCCATTATACAACATTTATTTGAAGTCTAATGAGCAGAGTCAGGACCCTTCTGTTGCACCATTAAGGGCTACTGCAAGTAGACAGTCAGATGGTGGCTGAAGGATTTTATATAAAAGATAAGGTTTTGATGAGAAAATGGAGGCCTTTGCAGTGGCCCACTATTGAAAGTTGGACTGTGGTGACCCAGGTTGTGTTACCCAAAAGCTTTAGGCAGGAAGTGTGGTATTTAGTCCATGAAACATCTATGGCTGTTCACTTGGGGATTCATAAAACTCAGGAGAAGATAATGAGGCATTTTTACTGACCTAAAACGCATAAGGATGTGGTGGCCTATTATCATTCTTGTCATGCTTGCCAAGTGGCAGGTAAACCAAATCAGTTGATTCCTAAGACACCATTGCAGAATGTGCCAGTTATGGAAGAACCTTTTTCTAGAGTCCTCATTGATTGCATTGGTCCTCTATCTAAAACTAAAAGAGGAAATGAGTATCTTTTGACAGTAATGGATGTAGCCACCAGGTTTCCTGAGGCAATACCACTGCAAAACATCAAGGCTAGGGCTACATCTGAAGCCTTAATTCATTTTTTTTTCTTGAGTTGGGTTACCAAAGAAATACAGCATGATCTTGATTCAAATTTCACTTCAGGGTTATTTCAAGAGATAATGTACAGGCTGGGAATCAAGCAGAGTATGTCATCAACATGCCACCCCCAGTCTCAAGGTGCAATTGAGAGGTATCATCAGACACTTAAAACTATGATTAGAACTCATCATGTACAGAATCCAGGCTTTGCCATTCTTGCTTTTTGTGATTAGAGACTCTGTGAATGACTCCACAGGGTTTAGCCCTTTCCAGTTGGTTTATGGCCATTAAGTGAGAGGTCCACTCAACCTTTTTAAGGAGCAACTGCTTGCAGCCAGGTCACCAATGCCATTGTTGGAGTGTGCAGCTGCATTTAAGGATAGGTTGCAGTCAGTTTGCGAATTGGCTAAGGAGAATCTTAGTAAGGCAGGGCAGAAAATGAAAGAGAGGTATGACTGGCAAGCCTTGACTCATAATTTTGTTTCAGGAGTCAGAGTTTTGATGTTGCTTCCCATGAATGGGGACAAATTAGGGGTCAAGTTTTGTGGGCCCTATACTGTGGTTAAGCGTGTCGAACAAGGTAATTATGTTGTTGATACCCCCAATCGTAGGCACAGGACTAGACTATGTCAGATTTAGACTATGTCAAAATCTCTTGAAGCCATACTGTGATAGAGAAGCCATCTTTTCGGGGGATGTGAAGGTACAGGGCAGGAAGAACAAGAGGGTGATGATGAAGTAAATGCAACTGAGCCAGTGACTGCTCGATTGATGAATTCCCAAGCATTGAAGAAGTTGCGGGAAATCTTAGCCCACTTAACTTCAGAGCAAATTGAGGAGGTGGTGAGCCTAGTGAGCAAGTATAAAACTTTATTTAAGGACACTCCAGGGCATACTTCTTTAATAACTCATGATGTAGATACAGGGATAGCAGAGCCAATCAAGTAGCATCTTTATAGGATCCATCCTAATAAATGGGTTCTGGTTAAAGACTGTGACACTGCAACAGAATCCAGACACTCGTGGTGTAAAAAGGCGAAAGGAGTTTTAATGGAGTCAGGCAAAAGCGGAGTCAAAAAACAAGCAGAGGTCAAAGCCAAACAACCAATACAAAACACAACGATGATCATATCACCGTGTGAACAAAACCAAGGGGCAAGACAAAAGGGCAAGTCGAAAAACAGTCCAGAAGGTCAAAAACACAGAACACCAAAATCACAGGCAATAGTATCCAAAGGGGTTAAGGCAAAAAGGCAGAGTTGAGAAAACAAAGCAAAGGGTCAAATACACAGCAGACAAATGATCAGAAATAACGTTCAGAAAGAAACAATACCTCGCACTGATCTTCACTAAAGCCCGGGCTTAAAAACTATCCTGTCCTGATCATATGATCTAAAGCACAGGTGCAAATAGTTAGTACTCTGGAGAATGAGAGCGCTGATAGGAGCGCGAGATATTGTCAGAAGTCATGTGATCCCCCTGAGGATTGTGGGTATTGGAGTCTGTCGCATTCTCTGAGTCAGAGGGAAGTAGCCCAGTCATGTGATCCTCCTGAGAGTTCTGGGTAATGAAGTCCATATCTTCCCGTGATACTGGCAAATGCGTGACAAAGAGGAACTGGATTATAGGGTAGAGATAGGAGCTGTGGAACCAGGGTTGAGTGAATGGAGTTCTCCTGTTGTAACAGTGACAAAGCCAGATGGGTCTTTGCGCCTCTGTATTGATTTTAGGAAAGTGAATGGTGTCACAGAGACTGATGCTTTTCCCATACCAAGACCAGAAGATTGTAGTGACAGAATAGATCAGGCAAAAATTGTCTCAAATTTTGAACGTCTCAAAGGTTATTGGCAAGTGTTTTTAACAGATGTGTCCGCTTTTTGTATTCCAGATGCTTTATGTCATTGCTCCATTCTTCCGTTTGAAATGAAGAATGCTCCGGCCACGTTCCAACGGTTAATGAATATGGTAACTTCAGGGTTGGAAAATGTGGTTACTTATCTTGATGATGTTGTGGTTTATAGTGCATCATGGTCTGAGCACATTAGGGCATATACAGCAGTTGTTTGAGTGGCTAGATAATGCAGGTTTGGTGGTAAATCTCCCGAAATGGGAAATTGGTAGAGCTCAGGTCACCAACCTAGGCCATCAAGTTGGGCAGGGGGCAGTGAGACCTAGGACAGTTAAGGTACAAGCCATTTTGGATCTCCCAGTTCCGCAAACTAAACATCAGCAAATTCGTATACTTGGGATGCATGGATTTTATTGCAGGTTTGTACCCAACTTCATAGCAGTGACTGCACCATTAACCAACCTCTTGAAAAAAGGGGTTAAGTTTCTGTGGTCAGCAGAGTGTCACGGTGCATTGGACAAGGTGAAGGCCATTTTGTTTTGTGAACCAGTTCTGAAGGTTCTTGATTGCTCTGTTCCATTTAAATTGGTAGTAGACGCTTGTGATGTTGGGGTAGGAGCTGAGCTTATACAACCTGATTCTGTAGGGATCGATAAACTGGTTGCTTACTTTTCTAGAAAGCTTAATTGCCATCAGAGAGCTTACTCTACTATTGGGAAAGAAGCATTAGCTCTAGTTTTGACAGTACAACATTTTGAGGTTTATCTGGCAGGGGCTGGTGGCAATATTACAGTTTATACTGATCATAATCCCCTGACTTTCTTATGAAAAATTTAGAACTTCCAACCAGTGAGTGTTAAGATGGAGCTTAATTTTACAGCCGTATAATCTGACCATAGTTCATGTACCAGGGAAAAACAATATACTTGACGATGCTTTGTCGCATATATGAAACTCTAGCTTTGAGACTGAAGTTATGTGAAATGCTTCTTTTTGAGTAATTCTAACCTGTAGTAAAATACACAGTATGTAGTTAGAAAAAAGAGGTTAAAAAGAGAACAGCTGAATATGAAAAATAGATGGTTGTTTGTTTGTTTTTTTTTGTTTTTGTAAGGGAAGAAGAATGTTAGGATAGGTAGGGCACGCTTAGTTAGACAGTACACTGTCCATTACACACTTCATCCACTGAGGGTGCTAGCTTGCCTCCAGGTACTCTGGGGAGCATAAAAGCCTAGAAGTAGAGGGTCACTGAGAGAGTTGGCATGACAGAACGTGTGGTGGTGCCGAACTTGAAAGTGAAAAGCCGACTGCCATCCTCCTCTGCTGGGTCGTTGTTTGGTGTGGGGAATTTGTCCCAGCTTCCCACTTTTAAACCTCTGAATGGAACTGATGGGCTTGTGCTCTCCATCCTGGAAGGACTGTGCTTGGGCTGGCCTGGAGTGGTGGAGGTAAGCTGGTTCTCCCCCCATTAACACTCACTTTAGCTGTGTACATAATGATAAACACGTCACCGGCATGCACTTAGGTTAGGGGTTTGCAGATGAGTTAACTAAACTCAAATGGTTTGAGGAAACTGATTGCCTTAAACCATTAAATTTGACGTAACTTGTTTGACCAAAAATAACTCCCTGAACTGAGTATGAATAAAACATATGTTTACTGTTTTATAAACTTAAGTAAACTGAGTAGATTTTACTAACTTCATTACTTTCATTGATCTTTAAATTATTATTTTGAACTTACATGTATTATTAGTCATAACTCAATACAATTAAGCACTTACATTCACACCTTCACACAAGTCTTGCTGCTCAAGTTTAACTAATTTATTTCCTTCCATTAGCAAATAAACTCAGCTATAATTGTAACAAATTCACACTATATTGCAGGAACCTACTGATAATGTCTTAAACATTTTAACCTAATACTTCTGAGGTCACTTCACTCACCCTAAATTTGTCTACAATAAGTATTACCGAAATTTGACAAGTTACTTAAGTTTAGAAAATAAATAAGGTAGCCAAGGGAAGGTAGGCTGGGGAGAATGACAACACACAGACGGAAGGTTAAACAAAGTAGAAAGACACACCCAATATGGAAATATAAAGCACGAACAGCCAATAGGAATGATGAGAGTTTTACTCAAGAAGGTTGCCTGACTGTCTTACCAGCACACAACAGTCCCACATCTCTGTCATGGGAGCAGTTGTGTTTAAGTGAAGATGATGTTGGACAGAAGTGAATCTGAGATTCGTTGCCTCTACACTGAAACTCCTCTGACCACACCTGACCCTCCCCTCTGCCAAAAGCAGCTGCTCCCAGCACCTCCACAGGAAGCCCACAGCCCAGCTCTCGGCACACAACCTCTGCATCCTGCTGGTCAAAGTCAGCATCACACACTGTGGACCAGGACCCTCCATGAAGAACCTCCACTCTCCCAGAGCAGCGAGAACCACCAACCAGCTTTATTCCTCCTAAAATATTAACATGAGAGAACAGGAGATGATACAAATGATCAAAATCATTTTATATTTTGATGTTTTGAGACACTTTACCCTTGCAATAAATATATAATCACTCACACTTCACAGATGCAGAAAATAGAAAATGAATCTGATATTATGGTAATGATGATATTAGGCAAATGTTCATTCATGGAAGTGATGACTGACTGCAGCTTACCTGAGCAGATGACTCCAGCATCTAAATAATGATGACAGTTATTTTTACCCCATGCCTGTGATCTACAGTTCATCAGTGTAGATTCTGATCCACTACAACCTACATAATTTATCCAGATTGGTCCTGATCCTGGTCCAAAGTGAGCTCTACACAGTGCAGCTACAACATCTCCACATCGCAACTCTCTACACACCACTGCAGCATCTCTCATATCCCAGCCACTATCACACACTGTTCCCCACTGATCATCATGAAGAACCTCCACTCTCCCAGCACAGCGACTGCCACCATCCACCAACCTCACACTGACTGTACAACAGAGAGAGAGAGAGAGAGAGACAGAGAGAGATTTCAGGAGTATATTCAGCTCCACCTCAGGGTTAAATGTAATTGAAGATTTTTGAAGATTTATATTTGTGCTGGAAGAAATGTGTGTGAAGTAGGAATTACAGTCATTGACTACAACCCTGTTTGCAAAAAAGTTGGGATGCTGTGCAAAATGTAAATTAAAATAGCATGTGATGATATGCAAATCATGTAAACCCTATATTTAATTCAAATTAATATAAAGACAACATATCAAATGTTCAAACTGTATAAAAAATATATAAGCCCATTTTCAATTTGATGCCAGTAACATGTTTTAAAAAGCTGTGACGGGGGCTTGTTTACCACTGTGTTGCATCACCTCTTCTTTTAACCACACTCTGTAAGCGTATGGGACCTGAGGAGACCAATTGCTGTAGTACTGAAAGTGAAATATTTTCCCGTATTTGCTTGATGTAGGATTTCAGCTGCTCAACAGTTTGGGGCCACCTTTGTTGTATTTTTCGTTTCGTAATGTGCCAAATGTTTTCAATGTATGACAGGTCTGGACTGCAGGCAGGTCAATTTAGCAACCAGACTCTTTTTCTATAGAGCACTGCAGTTGTAATACGGACAGAATGTGGTTTGGCATTGTGTTGCTAAAATAAGCAAGGCCTTCCCTGAAAAAGATGTCATCTGGATGGCAGCATATGTTGCCAAATCATGTATATATCATTCAGCATTAATGGTGCCTTCACAGATGTGCAAGTCACTCAAGCAATGTGCAGTAATGAACCCCTATACCATTACAGATGCTGGCTTTTAAACTGTGCACTGATAACAAGCTGGGTAATCTTTAGTTCAGCTGACACAGTGTCCATAAAAAGAATTTCAAATTTTGATTCATCGGACCACAGAACCCTTTTTCCACTTTGCTTCAGACCATCTTAAATGAGTTCAGGCCCAGAGAAGCCAGTGGGATTCCTGGATCCTGTTTATATGTGGTTTCGTCTTTGCATGGTAGAGTTTTAACTTGCACTTGTGGACGAAGCGATGAACTATGTTCACAGACAGTGGTTTTCAAGAGTGTTCCTGAGCCCATGCAGTGATTTCCACTATAGAATTATGATTATGTTTTTAAAGCCAGGGGCCTGAAGATCACAGCTAGCCAAAATTGGTTTTCAGCCTTGCCCCATTTACATTGCAAAACATTATTCTTGAATTATTGCCCACAAAGTCTTCCACAGAGTAGTGAAACCCTCCCCATCTTTACTTCTGAAAAATTCTCTGGGATGCTCTTTTTGTATACAATCACTGACCTGTTTACTGTTACTGACCTGTTTCCAATTAATCACGAATAAGCATCATTGCTTATTTAGAAATCAGAGGAAAGTGCACTGAATCTAATTTCATTATTTGTTTTACACTTTAACTTCTTTGTTTTACACTTTAACTTCTGAATCTGAAAGTGAAGTGAATCACAGTGAATCACAAAGTAAGTCATATGTAAACAGAAACTTTTTGTTTACAGTAAATCAGCTACAGAGATAGAATTTTTTTTTTCTGGATACATATATACTGCTTACCAGCACACACCAGTCCCACATCACTGTCATGGGAGCAGTTGTGTTTGAGTGAAGATGATGTTGGACAGAAGGAAATCTGAGATTCGTTGCCTCTACACTGAAGCTCCTCTGGCCACACCTGACCCTCCCCTCTGCCAAAAGCAGCTGCTCCCAGC